ACTGATTGCCTGGTTAGCTAACTAGCACATAATCAGTTGACTCTCTAGGACAGAAATGATCCACAGAATAGTGACTGTCCTGTCTGCAGCCATTGGTTTCACCAAACATGTGATCGATGATGGGTTTCTCACCAGGAGTAGTCCCAAAATTATTACTTTGTTATTGTTTTCGCCTGCTTCATTAATTATTTATGAACTCCTCCTCTGATTGGCTGACTGCACTCTGAGTGACGAGCGACCAGGCCTATCAGCTGAAACCTGTTGGAGACACATGGATAGAACGGTAGAGCCTGCTGATTGGCTGACTGCACTTGACCGGTGACACGCGACCAGGCCTATCACCGGTCTCATTTTGGAACATTGACAACTCTCTAGTAAACAAGAAAAGCAACAACCACAGCTGAGAGTCACGTTATTATGAATGGTAAGCTACACCATATCATGTTTGTTCAAGTTTTAGCAGGACATTCAGCCAATGTAGGAATAACTTCTAGGTTACAGTCCTGAGTTACAGTACAGTTAGAGTCCCAAAACAGAGTAACCCTACATCACTGCTGCAGGTAGAAATAGTTTACTCAGTTCCAAATAACGTTCGGTTTGAAAGCTCAGTTCATGTAAAAAAATGCTTAGTTAGAAATCACTATATTTGATATGATACCAGTTGCTTTAAAAGGTTGAAAACATAAGGCAGATTTGTGTATAATCGCGTGGTTACGTAGTTTCCTATTGTTGTCATCACTTTTTCCTCTATAGGGGCAGCTGTGGTGCCATGATGACAATAGAGAATGTGCTGCAGGGAGACACACAAGGTAGATCATCAAATAAGCTTCACTGTAGATCATTAAATAATCCTCAGTGTAGATTATCAAATAATCTTCACTGTAGCCAAAGTCTTTACATTGTGGTACCAAAGAGTCTTATTTTATTATGTCAGAGCATTATTAGAAACTGTGGGCTTAACTGTCCTCTCTCTTCAAAATGCACACATTTATTGGGCTGACTATAGGCCTTGAGGCTCAGACTATACCTGTAAGCTAGTAATGATTTCACAGATCATAATACAACTTAATTTGTATAGAAATTGAAATGCATATTTACAACTGGTTATTAGACATGTTGATATCAATTTATGACATTTGAGGCACTTGTTTTCAGTAGAAAATTACTTTATCACAGAAAATAAACCATAACAGAGCAACCTGCAACAATCACATATTGTGGTGCTTAGAAGACTATCATCTAAATGTAGAAAATGTAATAATAAAAAAATTGCAAAAAGTATTTCACCTTAAAAAAAAAGTGACATGTCTGTGCCAATCTTGCCCTGTTTTCACTGGTTAGCTGTGCAGTGGCCCTTCTTTGCCTTCTGATATTTGATTATATTGATGGGTTTCTCTGAAGAGCTGGTTGCTTTTGGGTGATCTGCATTTTCATTGAAGTGCATTGCAGGGACGTACAACCTGAAAAACAAGGAAATCTGTGTAAATTGCTGAACTGAGAACACCAGTTCAACAAAACACAGGGCACATACAGAGAGAATCAACTCATGACAAACAGAAAAGGATCTTGCACCTTGTGAATGAAAATGAAGATGACATTCTTTGAGACAAACATAGGACAACACTTCTCCATATCCTTCAGGACCCTCTAATTTGAAGTGATGTTGAACTTCAGAGAAAAAAAGAACATAAAATTATTTCCTTAATATGTATTATTAGCCTGTTACAGAGAACTGATGACACACATAATGTGTTCTTATTGCATGAAGCACAGTTGTGATCCCTGAAAATATACTGATTTAACAGAAATACGGCAAAAACCGCGATAAATGGTTTTTCATGCAACACGCATTCACATTCTGTCAATTCATGTCAATATATTTGTCCAATCAGATGGAGCTCTGCTGCCCTAGATGATAAATTCAGATCACTGATGGGTTTTACTGTCAAGTAATCATTGTCAGAAGAAGAAAATAAGAAGAAAATAGAGAGAAAACTGAGAATTTGAAAACAGACATTCGACGGAGCGAAGCGACTGTGAAATTTTAGTTGGAGCACTGTGAAACATTTACATTGGTTCACAAGGAATCAAATGTGATGTCTCTTGCAGATAAAAAGAAATGTAACGGACCAGGTGAGGATTTATAAACTGTAAAGTCAATACAAAGAAGCAGCCTTGTGCATTACTTATTATTATTACTGTAGGGGGGATTATTATAGGGAGTTATTCTAACAACCACATTGAAGGACTTTAATCGTTTATCTTTTGTTAAATAAATGAGCCACAGTTCCTGTTACCTTTATGATGCTACCTACCAAACATGCACATTCGCAGTGTGACACAGGCTGCTTGATTCAAGTCAGAATCATTGTGAATGCTGTGCAGTCACCACACAAATGTGATCCTCATGAACTGTGTCATACTGTCATGTAAACAGCAGTAAAATACAACATTAGGAAAGAGATCAGTGATTACCAACAACGTGACAGTACATAACGTTACGTGTCTTATTTTTGAGGTTCACAACATGTTCTGAGTGAGGCTGCTGTGTGCTAGCGCATTGCTAACTGTTAGCGACGCGATAGCACTAGCATTAGCAACGAGTAAAGAGTGTATTGTCCACCGCTTCTCTCTGTGAAATACAACACATCATTCATTTGTTTACTTACAGGTTGATGATCTTGAACCAGGGTGTGCAGTGTGAAAAGGCTGTATCCTTGAGATGTTGTAGTTTGAGAGTCTGTGGTGAAATGAGCCGAGCAAACCAAAAAACTCTGGGCACATCAGATAAAATAATGTGTAACCGCTAATTTCAAATAGTAACATTCTTTTGAGGAATGTGCACACACACATTCTCTTCCTTGCATCCCTCCACACTGCAGTTTTTCTTTAGTGTTGTTTGTTGTGGTTTGCCTGTGGTAGCAACATGTCTGCTTGGCTTCAGTTCAGTGTGGAGGGGACGAGAGGTGGTGGTGGGAGCGGGGTTGGTGGGTTCAGAGGCTGGACTGGTACTGGCTGGGTTGGGCTGAGAGAACAGTGCAGAAGTATCTGACGTCATACTACCTCGGAAGTAGGAAACAAGTTGTTTTCAAAGACATATTTCTTTTAAAGGACTGAGTGAAAAAGTCAGTGGAGTGTCTGTTTTTATACTTTGAGGATACCTACTGACCCCCTTCAAGTAATTATGGATAGTAAAAGCCCAGAAAATGTATTTTACACAATATGGGCCCTTTAGCTTATTAGCATACTTTAATGTCAATAATAATATTAATACTAATGCTACTTGTGTACAAAATGAGCTACAATGTTTGGTGGTGTGTTTTTATGGTGATATGAGTAATGTGTAAATAAATGTGTCAGTATTCTTAACAAAAGGACAAGATATAGTTCACTTCAATGAAATTTCTATTAAATATATTTTGAGCTAATCAACGTGAAAATAAACTGCAACACAATGTCACCAAAGCTGCTTTCAGACATGCACTGGAGCCCACAGATCCTCTGCCTGACCTCCTATAAAGTCTGTCAATGTAGAGACACAGCAGGGGATCCCCCACTAGATTCACTGCAAGCAATGCAGAGGATTTAATGCTTCTGTGAACGCATGTGTGAAAGGCAAACTGCAGGTAAACTCCAGATTTTGCACGGAGGTCATGTCTGAAAATGGCTTAAGTGTGCCACCAGTGCAAAAATACACCCATTATACATATGTAACACACGTAGAAAATAATGCTATATGTATGAATACACTGAGAGCAAAGAAGGGGGCATACATTGAAACAATAATCTAAGTAGAAGTTGAAAAAAATCATGACAAATATCTGATCAAAGAAAAGCTACAAGAGGACAAAAAAGCTGGCAATGCATCCAGTCCCACTTTATGTTTAACAGTCACCTCTATGAACATATATCTGCTGCTTTTCTTAGATTCACCTGTTAGAGGATTATACAAATTTAATTTTAGATTGGTCTAGGTATGTCAGTCTTCACCATTTAAACATGTTGAAAATTGTTTTGGTTTATAATGAAATTTCCACCAGTTAATCATTCCCAGGTTAACTGTTTCGGCTTTATTTATTTAACCAGTACACATTGGCACACATTGGTCCAGTTTGATTTATGACTTTTGGACCTAAATGTTAGTGAGGACATGATCAGGAAGTAGACCTGATAGAAATATATGTATCTGCCTGTTTAGCTAAACTTACTGTAACCCACGATATTCTTATGAAAACTAGTTGTGCGCACCGTTATTCAAATTTAATTTTAGTTTTAGGTTTAACTAATTTAAATGTGCAATATACACTTATGTGCATATGCAATTCATTGGCTCATATGCAATCCAGCACTGTACATATTCGGCTCACACTCATTGAGCTTAGGTTTAAAGATTCCTGCAGAAAATTATCTTGTCTTCAGACGTGTCGAAGCTCCGCTTCAGACTGGTGCAGTTGGGCGAACAATCAACCAGAGGAGAAAGAAAGGCTGATAAAGACACTGATCCAGAGGCACAAAATGTCTAGTATGCCCATCAGCATTTTCTTTCAGAAATAAACATTCCTTCTTCATCTACTTCACACTGGAGCAGAGTCCTGACACCCGACACCAAGCAGGAATCGTCTAGAGCTGCCGAGGCCCGAGATAAAACAGCCCAGGCTCTTTTCAAACTTATTTTATGCTCCAGCAAATAAACACACCACTGAGCTAAAGCTGCGGTACAAAACAGTTTGTCTACAATAGGTTTATTCAGCTGCGAGAAACACACCAACGTAAAGTTTAAAGATATTCACTGCAACTACGAGTTGTTGTTCTACCCTTGGGACATGAAAACCTTCAGAACAAATATAACAGCTAGCTGCACTTTGCCTCAGTGTGGAGAGGCGAGCACCAAAACCCATTTGAAGCACAACACGTTAACTACAATGTTCTTATCGTGTTCACCCTGGTGGCTCCACACTCTTTATTCCCTCAGAATAAACGTTAACAAAAAGTGAACTTACCGTAAACCACCGACAGCAGGCAGCTCCGGAGCAGCAACAGCAACAGCAGACCGCCCATTTCAGTTCCTCTAAGCTTTATATCCATAAATCCCGCTTCATTCTCGACTGTTTACTCTTTAATGACGTTGTAGAGAGGTCCACTTTCCGTGTGTCCATGAACATATATGAGTCAGTGTTCTGTTGTACAGCGAAATGTGTATCCGATTAAGTGTGTGAGTATGCGTACGCTTCTCTGTCGACTGCACTTTTTCCCTGTTGAGGCACTCGCAGTACTTTATACTTTGGACAGTCAAGCTCGCGCACGGAGAGAAGGGGCAGGCGGACGTGGTATGACGTCATCCAACACAAGGCGAACAGATTTTTTTCTCAATTTCCAAGATTCCAGTTTAGTGTTAATGTCATACATACCTTGTTTCATACACTTTTTTTAAACAGACACAACGACCATATTCATGTAATTTTATACCTGGATTTTCAGCGGACCTCCCACTAAAATCAATGAATCTCAACCTAATTCATCCCGAGGGTGGATTGGTTTTGCAGCAAGACATGGATGATAAAAACCAGAAACAACAAGAAGGGGAAGTAGGCAGCAGATTGGGGAGAGCAATAGTTGTCCCATGTTGACTTTACAGATGTTTGAATAAATACAATACTGTTGAATAATTACAATAAAAACAATAATAATAAATATTATATAAGGTATTAAAAAATCTGGACTTTCTTCAGAGGTTGCCTTTCACACATGAACAATGCAGGGGGAGATTCTCCGCTCAGATGTGGTAACAACAGCAACAAAGTCTCCAGAGGACTGAGGCGAGGGTTGGTGCAGCAGGCAGAGGCAGGCCATTGTGTAAGAAGTCTGCTATGGAGATCCCATGCTTTTTGTTTATAGCACATCGACACAGGTGTCAGCTCTTATCATTAAAAGCTCTCTTGACATTTTGTGTCTGGATATATTTGTTTTCTTCTTGTTTTTTGTATGTTGTTCTTATGCTGTCGCACATTAGAATCATCAACACCTCCACTTGCTTGTGGTAAATCCTGTGGAGGATCTCCTGCTAAGTACTCACATTGGCTCCTCTGGAGTTTCTTCTGACTTTGTTCTAGGAGGCCATGTGGAGAAATTCAACAGAAACTACAGAGGATCTCACTGGAATATCTGCATTCTTACATACAGCCCCTGCAGAGAAAGTCCAAAAGAAGTGTGCGTGTGTGTTCCTGTCCAGATATCAGCTTTAGGGTTAGAATTAGGTTGAGCTAAAAGGTTAGGGTAAGGGTTGTGGTTAGGGTTAAGCATTTCGTTGTGATGGTTAAGTTCAGGGTTAGTGTCGTCAAGATAGAAGTACAGGGAATCTCAAGGACCTTCAGCAGTGATGCTCTGTAGGGATCAGTGGCCTTGAACCAGGAGATTGGGTAGGTGGGTGGTATGTTTAACTGCAAGTGTTCCTGCTCCTCTACCTGCGCTCCCCTGTGGTGAAGGTCCTTTTCCCTTCAGTGTAGCACCATGCTGTTGACAAAGACATTGCTAACTGCAGCAACCCCTGATACAATGGTGAATGGAAAACTGTAGTGTAAAGCACTTTGAGTGGTCTTCAAGACTAGAAAAGCGCTATATAAATACAACCATTTACCATTTACCATTTACAATCCCTTAATTGTACGGATTCCAGCTGATAAAGGCTGACAGGACAGTGGAGAGCGATAAGAGGAAAGGAGGAGGGCTGGCAGTGTTTGAAAATGATAGATGGTGTAACTTAGAGCACGTCTCTATTAAAGAATAGGGTAACACTTTATAATAACATTCAGTTATAAGTCATTTTATAAGCCTTTAGTAAATGATTAACTAATAATTTACAAAACATTAATGTACATTTGTAGATTTGCAAGTCATTTACAAACTTTAGATCGAGGGATGCAGAAAGGTTTGTATATGATTTAGCCACATAATTTATAACAGGTTAGGAACACTTCATTTGTACTGCAGTGCTTCTATGTGACCTGGATTATCTCCTGCCTGTTGACAAACAGTCTTTGTGCACAAGCACACAGGTGTAACGCGAAGAAGTGGTCCGACTATCGCTGTGAAGGACTCTAACAAATCAACTGTTTGGGAACCCAACAGTCACACACACTGCATTATGGACTACATCCACTGGCACTAACACTCCACCTGATGAAGACCCTGGAGTGGCTTGTCCTAAATTATCTCTCCCCCCTGGTGAGACCATTGATGGACCTGTTGCAGTTTGCCTATCAGCCTGGCATTGGGGTGGATTCCATTCGACCAGCCCTTCTGGGGGACAGACTGGAGTATGCTGCAGTAGACAGCCACCTCTCATCCAGGATACTGGAAAATGTAACCAACCGACCCCAGTATCTAAGGACCCAGTACTGTGTGTCGGCTGTCCAGGGACACAGCAAGGAACAGTTCTGGCTCTGTTCCTCTTCACCTTCTACACTGCAGACTTCTCTTTCAACTCACTGTCACCTGCAGTAGTTCTCTGAAATCTCCTCTCATGCAGGACTTTGTGGACCGGCGGAGTCCAGATCAACACAATGAAAACCTAAAAACTGGTGGTGGATTTGGTGCAGACACTCCTCCTGGACACCGATGAACATCCCTGAATGGAGATTGAGACAGTGACTTCTTATAAGTATAGGTGTTCACCTGAACAATACACCGGACTAATCATGCCATCTCAGCGGCTGACAGGCAGTTGGATAGACTATTAAGGAGGGTCAGATTGGTCCTGGGATACCCACTTGAACTTGACATTTCCCCATTCCCCCCAATTTCTTTCTTTCTTATGTTTGAATTTTTGTCATCCTTCATACCCATCAACATGATAACATAAAATACATTATCACAATCTTCCTTATCAACACCTTCAAGATGAGAATCAGATGTGCTGGGCACTGACAGTGAGAGGACAAAGTTTTACTGGGACAGAGTACTCACCACTCACCACGCTGCATCTTTAATGGTGCATTTACCTCTCCTAATTATAGCAATTATAGCAGACGAAAAGGATGGCATGCAAAAACTCACAGCTTATATAGAGAACTAAACAATTCAGAAACTCAAGTCTTACCCATCCCTACAGTAACCCTGGAGGGACATTTCACAACCGACTTCCCATGTATATGGACATATTGGAGACTGGAAAATGATGATGCAGACATGAAGTAGTGAACTGAAGCAGATTATTCAACTGAAAAAGATATAAAACAACTTGCAGCAAATTACGTTCATATACCATTAAACAGCAGAGTTGCAGAGCTGGGTCATTCATAGTTTTTAATAATATATTCCAACACTGTGCATGTACTGCCCTTGCAGCACGTAATCTTGAGCAAAGCTAGACAGCCAGATGACATCCAAAATCTTCCATTAAATACACAAGGCTTGCCTTTGCTTGCATTTTACTGGGTTTGATTTTGTGTTTTAAAACTGAAACATTACAGAGAAAAAAACATAGTTAAGTATAAAAACATGACCATATTCACATAAAAGGTAAGTATTATACAAAAACTGTCACTACAAAAATATAAATTGCCCTTTCTGTATCAAAGCACAGCCTGACTATCAAAAACAGCAGTCACAATCAATTAGCAAAAAAAGCTAGCTACTGTGCTAACTGCTAACAGAGCAATGCTGATAACTAGCTCCATCAAAAAGTTTCTAACATTAGATTGCTTAAATATACTACTTACAGACAAATATTTTCCAAGGCAGAAGCTATCAGAAAAATATCTCAGCAACACTATGAATTTATCTCTGTATATCTTGTCTGAGCTTAACTAGATAAATACAGAGCTAGCTGAAGAAACAGAGATAAAGGAACGCTTAAGATGCGCAGAGATAGTGCAGTGAGAGTGATCACTCTGATGCTATCTCTGAAGAATAAAAAGAGTTGGAGACTCTGATGCCGTTTCAGTAGTATCTGCAAGCCAAATTACCCATTTTTTTCCGAGGATGGTGAAGCCACGAACCACGCTACTCTGCCTGTAATGTGTTTTTTTTTAACTCGCTTACTATCGCGCCTGCAACTTACTCTTAGGACTCTTACTATCCTACTGTTACAGATACATATAGAATCTATGTCATTCACGCCCCAACCTGCTGACAACTGGCCAATGGGGACCCAGCCATGCCATCCCACCCCTACCATTGATCCAAACAGCCATGTGCCCACCTGTGACACGTTCAATGATGTGACCAGTAATACCTAAAAACTGCTCCTGATCAAGTCATGTTAATTTTATAATAGTGGCACACTCTGGCCCAGGCTATCTGTTGCAAATCAGCTGTTCAAAGAAACAGTTTACAAAAAAAAATACTGACTTGCCAAGTGAGAGAATAGGTGTCAATGGTTCAATCTCACTAGTCTGTGGGCTAGTATTCGTTTAGTAATTTCATAATCCTTCCTCCCTGAGATCAGCAGAAATTATGTGACAATCAGCAAATACTACTGATGGATTTTTGGGTAAACTAAATAGAGTAGTCTTACATGTCACTGTTTCTAAAACAGGGCATTTTTCTGGGCTGCGTTAAAAAAGGGCAAAAATTTAGAGCATACCCACTTCTCCAGGGACCACTGCACCACTGCCACAGTCAGTAGTCAGAACAGTGCTGTTTCATCAAGGAGGAGTGTACGTAAAATCACAGCAGTAACTGTGTGGAGGATGCAGGTTTCTGGCATTTTTTGAAGGCCGTGGATCCTCGATATCAAATCCCTGGTGGGAAATCCTTAATGTCGAGTGAAACTCCAACGCTACATGAACAAGTCAAAACAACACTGAAAGACTCCATTGAATCAGCAAGCAATATGGTTTTAACAAGCAATATGTGGGCAGCAAGGACAACTGAAGCTTATTTGACTGTGATAGGACATGTTAGATTAGATAAGATATACTTTATTCATTCCACAACGGGGAAATTTACTTGATACAGCAGCAGAAAGAAAGTGTAGTATACACTACAGAAATTAAAGGAGAAGTTCGTTTTTTTTCAACCTGGTCCTTATTTCTAGCATATGGTACGTAGATCTACTCACCCATAAAGGTTTGGAGTAACTTGGAGTAACTTGGAGTCCTTCGGACGCTTTTAGATCCACACGCGATCAGCGTATATCCATACAACGCAAGGGTGAGGGCATCCACAATACAGCCTCTAAATAACGCATTATCTGCAGCGAAACTCTTTATTTACTATGAATCGCCAGGACTAGTCCCCTGTGAGTCTCGGAGCCAGCATTAGCTTA